TATATAATCCTCGGTACAAAAAGCTATTAATTCTGGGGTGTTCTCACGTATTGACAATGTTTACAATGTGTTAAACTTCGAAACATACAGTATGCTACTCAATACATGTACACGTTCTACGATCAATGCGCATGAGAATTAATATAGAGGTAATTTTCAATTAAACCGTGAAATTAGTAACTATTCTTCCCATTTTTCTAAAACAGGTTTAAAAAAAATGTAAATCGGCTTTCCAGCTGTCATTTGAAATCGCATCGTACATTTCCCTAACTCACGTGTTTGTAGGAAAAACGTAGTAGACCATCATGCTTTTCGGCTCATTCACGAGAATGGACCATTGTTTGCATGCGAGACCACGTGTTCATGAATATTTCAATAAGAGGCGGTTAAATATCCGACTCGGAAAGAAAATAATTTTTACAAAATAATATTTCATAACTTTTAAAAGTGATGGAGTGGAATTGTCTTAATTGCAGAAATTACATAACTTATGTAACTTGATGAGACACCACATGTATTTATTTTTTTAGCAATAACACTAATATGGCATATATATCTTTAATTTTTTTGTGATTGATACTGTTTTTCATATTTATTTTTTATACAGAAAATTAAACGTGAATTAATTATTTTCCACCAGTAAGAATTAGTTTTAAATAGATCTTATCGACATATGTTATCGTTATATGCTATCGTTATCGTTATATGGCCAATTTTCATACTATGGGGATACTCAAAAGGAATTTTCTTAAGAATTGGGGCTTTTAGAAAATTCTATGTTAAATTTTGCCAAGTATTATTTTTCAGTATTTTTACTGACATTAATTATTGTTAATTTCTCTATCTTTAAAATACTCAGTTTTAAGTGTTTTATTTTTAAATGTTAGAATGTACATGATCTGTAAATCACCAGAACGGAACCCTCAGATTTTATTCAAAATTAATAAATCCTGAAAGAAATCATACACATTTCATTTATCAATTTTATTTGTGCATTACATAACGGTAGATTGAAGTTAGGGTCATTGTTGACCAGGCATGTTCAATGATGTGAAACGCTGATACTTATACCCAAATAACACGCACTGATTTTCAGCCCTAAGGCGATTGAAACCGCGGGTGTTGTTACCATTTTGTAAACATTAAACAGCCAGGTAAACACAAGCAAAACAAAATAGAGATAAATCACAATTCCCGGTATTTTCAATTTTTTATTTATAAAATAAATGTACTCTTTTGATGATTTGTTTATTAATTAAAAACTACTGGTAATTCATTAATATATTCCGTATGATTATTCACATTATTTAAGTTACGGAAGAATGGTAGCATAATTTTATTTCATGGTCATTTAATAAATTGTTAGACTTTATTTGGAGGTTGCATGGAAAACTTTTTTTAGCGTGGTACTCATAAAACATGTAGCTTTTCAATTAAAAAAATCTTATATCTAATTGTAATGATTATTTTTAAATAGTGCCAATGCAAAGTTTGAGTGCACATAATTTTAATAAAATAATAAAAAAGGCCTACATGTAGATATTTTTTTTCATAAACCTGTAGTTTATTTTTAGGGGAAAAAATCTCTTCTCCTGACTTCCTGATTGAACAGCTTTATTTTTTTTTTTTAAATCTAAACTACATTTGTGTAAATATACAGTCTCTGAAAATATTATTCAACTATAATCTCTTCTTATCAAAAGATTGTAAGAAAACCTTGCTTTTTTAATAGTTTAAACTACACTCTGCTCCTAGTAAACAAAACAACTGGAAGTCTGCAAATTCAGAATACACAAGGGGGCGGAGCTATCATGTCACTCAGTACTTTTTTCACACATGAGTGAACAAAGCAGTCCCAGAAAGCAGTCCCAGGGACAGCTGGGTCTGCTTTTTAGAGCAGTCCCATAGCGGTCCCGGAGCAGTACCACAGCGGTCCCAGAGCAGTCCCACAGCAGTCACAAAGCAGTCCCGGGGACTGCTTTCTGGGACTGCTTAGGTGTCAGGTTGGGTCTGGTCGGCACTGTACATGTACATTTATTTGTTTCATAACTCACCCCTGTCAACGCACGATCTGCAACGCTGATGCGATCGACAGCACCGATAGTCAAATTCAGCTACATGAGGAAGATGGAGTATAAAACATTATTTTGTCCTATTTCATCGCAATTTTCCTTCAACATTTCTGACTTTTTAAATGCTACGAGATATGTTTAACACCATGAAAGTCGATTCTCTACGCATCAAAAATCACCATATATTATGTTAAAGTTAAGTTTTCCTTGAATATGACTGCCCTAACGTGACACACGGAGCTCGTTAGGTGGCATTTCTTACCTTATTACGTATACCCGACAGTCCAAAAGGCACATTTGCAATTTTAAATAGGTAAATTATAAATGTTAAATCCGATTTGAAGTTATTTATCAAATAGAGAGCGTCAAAATAACGGTTTTAAGTGAACACATGCCAAACGTTTTGGCGATCGGCAAAGACTCTATATGCGATCGTACAATAAAGAAAATGTGATAAACATGCGATTGTGCAACTTGAAATTTATAAAATACTTTTAATGAAATAAAGAAATAGAATAGCCATGTGGTATAATCGGAAAATTGTCAAAACAGAGCAAGATACCTAGCATTTGATTTTCGAGAGGGAAAGAGCGAACTTAACTCACGTTCTTGTATATTAGTTGACCAATGTCCGTATTTTAAGAAAACAAAATTTAAAACTCCATGGGGCCCTAAAACTTGATAGTATTTGATTATTTTTTTAAAAAACAGATACCTAAATATAGAGTGTTATAGGACCAAATTTGAGCATTATAGAAAAAAGGTTTTATTGTCTATGAAATGGCAGTTCTATTACAGGAGTTGGCATACATATCAAAAACTGAATTTTTTCAGAAAAAAAATATGTATTAATACTATAAAAATAACGATCAAATAAATTTGCATACCTAGCAATTTTACCGAAATTTTCAGCAAACAAAAAATGTGTTGTACACGCACGTGTTAATACAACAGCATTATGTATTACAGTATATGTATTACAGTATATTTTTTAATTTACTAAAAACTGTTATTATCAATAGTATTACTTTTAAAAAATTAATCGACAATTTTCAATATCATGCATGTACATGTACATGTACAAGCTTATTTCAACTTATATTATACGATATAACATAACTTGGGGCAGTTTACGCTTTATAAACCGCAAAGCGTAAACTGTCCCAAGTTTTGTTATATCGTATAATATAAGTTGAAATAAGCTTCAATCCTTATAATTTAATTTCATTGCAGACAATGAGACAATCCCCCCCCCCCTAGAATAAGGCTTCACATTGATTAAATTTTAAAAGTAACGTCAAGCGGAGTAATACATTTTTTGACGTAACTCATTGTGACGTAGGCAAGTTATGTTATACAAAATGGATAAAATCTTTATCCAATCAAATGACGTGTTACAAGTTAAATTAAATTATTAACGTTTATTATAAATCTTGTTTGTAAGATTACCATTAATGACTTTTTCAAGTAAACATCAAAATATGAAACAATTAATATAGTGTATTTTGCATTCTTATATTGAAACGTCATGAAACTTCTCTCAATCGTCAACTTCCATTATTGATGCAGCAATATTACCTTCCTCACCTGCATACGCCACTGCACTGCAAAGTCTACATAATATAGGTGTTTCTTTACGCTACAGTCTATTACGTCAGTGAGGTCATATATGATCTTTCAGTGCAGTGAGATCAGTAGGACGTTTATTACACGGTTAGACCTTGTAAGTTTAAATTACATAGGAACAGATCACAATCAATGTATGGTGATGTATTTTTTATTTGTATTTCTATTCATAACTTATTATATTCTATTTGTGTTTTAATGATGAAAACTAGGTTATGTTGCAAAAAATAAAGATAGAAACAAATAAACAGATTTCCACGAAAGCGTCAGTACTTCATAGAAATAATGTAACATTTTTTACTTTCCTCTTTTTTTCCTTTTGTTTCCTTTTAAATATTTATATAAATTCAACTTGAATAATTGAAGTAAATATATGAAAAACGACATGTGTTGGAATAGCTATATCATTGTTCTTTACTTGTTAATTTTGTTTATTCATGAGGGCATAACAACTTTCAATCTTGGAAGTGGAGAGTGTAGAAACTTAGTAACGTAAGATTTTTTCCAAGATACATTTTTATGTAATTATTCAACAGTTAAAATGATAATAGGGGGGTAAAAAAGAAATGAAAGCATTTACGTATCAAGTTTTCTTGTTGCAATTAATTTCTGTAATTAAACAATTTCATAAGATGTTTTTATCTACTTTTCACACTGAAATTATCAGATACGTACTTATCGAAATTCTAAGTAAGTCTCTCTAAAAAGTTATCATCAGGTAAAACAGCTTAATTAACGAATTAGCAAACTGAAAATCACCTTCTTTCAGTTTTCTTTAAAAAGAAATTATGAAAATGTACTTTCTCAATGTCCTCTCTCCAAGATATCAGAAAAATGCTGAAATTTAAAAAAACCTGCTCTTCCAATTGATTTTCACAGGAATGAAATTGAATGTTGTGTTAATTACTATCAAGAAAGCGGAACGTGTAAAGGTAATCAGAAATTAAGAGAAATATTTAAAAAGAAAAACTACAATTTTCATTCTAATTTAATCTTAGCAAAGTATTTACCTTACATAAATGTGAAAAAAATAAACACATATTGCAGTTCTTTTTGAAATTAAGTCTGTCCAGAAGGATGGTTCGGAGAGAATTGCACCAAACGGTGTCCAGAAAATCAATATGGAACACTCTGTCTTGGAAAATGTAACTGCAACCCTAATGAAACGTGCGATCATGTTCTAGGATGTAAGTTAATTACATGTTTTTTGATCGATTGTTGATTTGTCATTTTGAAATATTACATTCATTGCCAGGATTGTGTTATTTGCCTCAGGTCTTCGAAAAGGAGTTTGCACCGGACATGACAGGTAAGAACCATATTTTATTTATTTGCTTGTTTATCATGAATAATTTGCAAATCAATGAAAATCATAAAAGCAAGATTTTATATAACTATATTTTATTACTTCATGATAACTGATTAAATTCTATAATTTCTAATCTACTTTATTTCAGAGAATTAAAATGCTGTATTAATTACTATCAGCATATCAAAAACAAATGCGAAGGTTCGTGTTACAAGTATGCTTCTTATAATGCATTTGATAAAACTTAAGATAAAAGAAAACGACTTCATCAATTTTCGAAATTGTGGATCTAAATAAACAATATATAACTCCTTATATTACAGTTTGTTTTCCGGGTACCTATGGCCAGAATAGCGAGGATAAGTGTCCCGATGGAACATATGGTTATTTATGTCGACAGAAATGCAAATGCAACCCAAATGTAATCTGTGACAAAAGATTCGGTTGTGTTGACCAAGGTATGTATTATTGCAAATTATTTAAATTAATGAAAATCAAACGAATTATAACATGAAAATCAAACGAATTATAACTCGCCCCGTGGGGATCCGGGATAGAATAGGTCCTCATTACCCCCTTGCTTGTCATAAAAGGCGACTAAATGGGGCGGTCCTTCGGATGAGACCGTATAAACCGAGGCCCCGTGTCACAGCAGGTGTGGCACGATAAAGATCCCTCCCTGCTCAAAGGCCATAAGTGCCGAACATAGGCCTAAATTTGCAGCCCTTCACCGGCAATGGTGACGTCTCCATATCAGTGAAATATTCTGGAGAGGGACGTTAAACAGTATACAATCAATCAATCAATCAATTATAACTCCACAATGAAGTTTAAATATATTTAAAAGTAATATGCTGACGATACGACCCTTCGGACGAGAGAGATACTTATTCAGTTTCATTTCAGATCGGGATCGTCAAAGCGCACGTGACATTTGGTACGTCTAGACTGACATTTACCAAATCGAAGAATAAAATGTCCTGAATCTAAATGGAGAGCGTTTTATTTACTGTTTATCTGCAAATGTTCCAATTAAATCACCGTTCACGGTAGCTCAGTCGGTAGAGCGCTCGCTCCGTGATCGGGAGGTCGTGAGTTCGTATCTCGGCCGCGACTGACTCAGTCGATAAAATGGGTAGCAACTGTTCCTTCGCCATGCCCTCGGCACTTTGAAGTGAAAGTTGCGGGTCCTTCGGATGAGAGCTTAAAAACCGAGGCCCCGTGTCAGCGGCAGGCGTTGGCACGATAAAGATCCCTCACTGCTCAATGGCCCTGAGTGCCGAGTAAAGGTCAAAATTTGGAAATCAATCCCATTCATATATAGATCCATCAAAGATTTACTCCAAATTTTCACATTGATTTTATAAAAAATATCACTTCAAATGAAATAAACGTATCTTAGAATTACATTTAAGAAAGAATTAAGGACAAATATTTTTTATTGTTAGAATGTCCGCCAGGGTCATTTGGGGAAAACTGTTCGGAAGAGTGTCCATCGGGATTTTATGGTCACTTTTGTGAGGAAAAATGCACATGTGATGACTACTGTGATAAGGAAAATGGCCGTGTTAAAACAACAAATGGTACAGGTATAATAAATGTTTTTCATATACATTTTACAATTTTCATACAAGTGTATTCCACAATAAATGAAACAATGCACGAAATCAGATCAACGTGGAAGTGGCACGTACCTCTATTGAAATTTTATGTTTCTTCCCTTAACAGACAATTTATGCATTTAATTGATCCTGAAAGGAAAAAATGGATTACTGTTTGTCACAAGTGGCATTGTGTCAATGTTTTATATTGGCTTATTGTACAGGTATTGGTAAGTGTTATCTTTATTTGGGCATTAGGAGTTATTGATTATTTCATTTACGCAATATTGGTCACTGAGTTGTACTTGTTCTATTTTTATCAACGTATACTCGTCGAACCCGTTTGAGTAGTTTGGTCAGTTATTTATACTGGGTGTTGGCTAGTGTTCGTCAGATGAGATCTGGACGCCGGGATTTATACTTTACCCATGCTGAGTGATCTTGGGCGTGCCTTTTATATAACCCATGCTCTGTGACCTTGGTGTGTGTTCGGTTTCACCTGCTGTGTGATCTTGGGATTCAGGGATGTTTTGTTGCGGCGTTGAGAGCAAGACCTGGCCCGACAGTATGATTTTTATGTATCAAATGCCACAGCTCAGTAAGTTTTTACACTTTACAATATTTTTGTTGTTAGGTTTAAAGAGCAATATTCTATGTAAAACTGTTAGCAATATAGCGAGAATGTATTTTTTACGCTATAATTCATTTTTTCGTTAAACGGCAAAAATACATGTTTTTTTTATTGTAGTTTATTTGTAAAATCTAGTATTTTGAACAGATATGTGTTTTGAATATTACATTATAAAACCCTATGAAAATTGTAGGTGACCAAAATTGTATATTAAGCTTTTGTTCTGGACGGGAGGATTGGTGTACGTGGTGAGGCTATATTTTTAGGATGTGGTTGACCGGAAGGGACAATATGGTGGACCATACATTACGACGTGGTGTGAAATGTGAATCTGTCCAGTGATGACCATGATTGAACTCTTGGATGTTTTCACGTTTATTGTACATATGTAGATAAATTTATTGTTAATTTTTATGAATCTTTTTATTTCTTGGTGAACAAGAGGTCTTCCAAAATGTTATTTGTTTTGGATTTTTTTTATACAAATTTAAAGAACCATCACAACTTGACTTGAGAAAGTTGAAAAGTTAAAGAATGATGTTATAAAAATTTAGAATATCAGTTAAATTAATATAGATCTAACAAAGAAAGAATGGAGGCGTACAAGGCGAGGACAATCCCCCGCTCTGAGATAAAACATTTAAAATTCTAAAAGTTCATGAAAGCTATATTTTTTCAAAATTTTATGGTTTATATAATCTTTTATGCATTTAATTCTGTATTTAATTTTTTAATGTTTTATTAATAATTTATTTTTTCACTCATGTTTTAAGATATGTGAAAACAAAAAAAGAAAAGGCATCACGTATGATGTGAACTCTCTCCATAGCGCAGGGTTTGGTGGAAGACACACCGCGTTAACCACTACGCTATGAAGTATGCATTATCGACGCCTGTCAATATGATTTAAGGGACTCGATCCTCAGCCAGGAAGGACAACTCTTTAATTTATAATTTAATTCAAAAAGTCTCAAAATGAAGCTTGAAAATTAAATCTTTTCATGCAACAATTTTCAATTTATACCTCTGAATGTGCTTCAAGGTTCTCTGAAGTTCTCAGAAAAGGTCTAATTAAAAGTTGAATTTTTTACCCGACAAAAGCATTTTAAAACAAGATGTGTTTGTGAAACTCTGATGCCCCCGTATGGCAACAAAGCAAAGATTAAAATTTACTTTAATGCAAATTAAATATATTGGTACAAAAAGTAGGGTAGTCTCACTGAAAAATAATTGTGAAATATGAAAGTAGGCCAAGGTTACATTTTTTCATAAGTACAGAAATCTTCAAGGTTAAGGTCATTGGTATCCAATGAAAGGTCTTGCCACGAAAAATACACACGTAAATTATGGAAGGTCTAGCCCTTACCGTTCAGAAGTTGTGGCCAAGGTTAAAATTTCAAAAAGTAGATCAAACTCCAAGGTCAAGGTTTAAGGTCTTGGTATCAAATGAAAGGTCTTGTCAGAAGGATTAAATATGAAAAGTATGAAAGCACTAGCCCTAACCCTTTTATAGGAATGGTCAAGGTTTTCTCTTTAAAAGTATGTCAAATTCCAAGGTCAATTTCAAAGGGTCAAAGTTCTTGGTATCCAGTGAAGGGTCTTCTCACAAGGATTACATAAGTGAAGTATGAGATCACTAGCCTTTAGTGTTCAAAAGTTATGGCCAAAGATTTTCATAAGAACAAAATTTTGAAGGTCAAAACGACAAGGTAATTGGTATTCAATGAAAGGTCCTTCCACATGGAAAACATATGTGAAGTATGGAAGCCCTAGCCCTAACTGTTCAGAGGTTATGGCCAAGGTTACTTTTTTAAAGTAGGTCAAACTCCAAGGACAAGGTCAAAGGGTCAAAAAGTCTTGCAATCAAATGAAAGACTTTGTCACAATAATTAAATATTTAAAATATATGAAAGCATTAGCCATAACCCTTTAAAAGTTATGGTCAAGGTTTGCTTTTAAAAGTAGGTCAAACTCTAAGGTCAAGGGGTCAAATTTTTCGGTATCCAATGAAGGGTCTTTTCACAAGGATTACATATGTGAAGTATGAAAGCTCTAGCCCTTACAGCTCAAAAGTTATTGCCAAGGTTGAACTTTTTAAATAAGTACACTGTACGCAAATCTCCAAGGTTAAAAGGTCAAAGTTGGTGGTATCCAATGAAAGGTCTTGCCACACAAAATATATATGTGAAGTATAAATGTCCCAGTTACTACTGTTCAAAAGATATGGCCAAAGTGAAAGTTTGAAATTTTTGTGCTAAAGTGGGTCAAACTCCAAGGTCAAGGTCAAAACGTCAAATTTGGTGGTACCCAAAGAAAGGTCTTGTCACAAGGAATACACATGTGAAATATGAAAGTCATAGCTCTACTAAATCAAGAGTTATGGACAAGGTTAAAGTTTTTGCGGATAAACAAACAGAACGACAGACGGACCTATGGACACGACAAAAACTCAAGCTCACATTTTGAAAAATTTATAGAAAATTGTGCACTTTCCCCTGCGATTCCAACGCGATTTTACAAATTTAACAACGCCGCAATAACTCCGTGTGGAAGCAGCTTGGGTTGACAGGACCCTAATGAAATCTACTTTAAAAATTCTTTTGTTAACATTATTTTGATCAGAGACGCTGCACTCCAATGATACGGAGTTACAGATAACAACAGGTAGGATCAAAAATTTTGTTTCATGTAAGATATTTATGTTCTTTTTTTTTCTAACAAAAAAAAAAAAGAAGGGAGGGGGGAGGGAAGCAGATTTCATGTTTTGAAAATTAATTAATCTTTACTGAAACGATTATAATAAGCATTGAATTGTATAATGGTTATATAGACTAATAAAAAAGTTATTGAAATACGTATTTTATCTTAGAAAAAGGTTAGACAGATTTCACATTTTACTGTAATCCCAGAGTTGCCAGACTGTGAAGAGAAAACTCTTTGCCTTCTTCCTTTCTACCCCACAATAGTATACATGGTTCTGGCAAAATCAGTGGAAGCAATAGCCATCTGCATTCTGATTGGAACAACTATCTTATTATCCTGGTGAGAAATTATGGGTATATAGATATAAAAACCATACAAAAATGAATTATATGAAAAACCTGGAGATAACAAACGGTATCCAAGCTCATAAGTTGATTCAAACGACACAATCCACGAGCAGATCGAGAAAACACGAGCCTCTAAAACATTTGAGATCAGGTAAAATGGAGGAGTGAGCTTTCCT